CACTGAGGGAGGTATAGACACCGGGGGAGTGCACTGAGGCAGGTATAGACACAGGGTGGTGCACCAAGGCAGGTATAGACACAGTGGGGGGTGCACCGAGGCAGGTATAGACACAGTGGGGGACAATCTTAAAGGAAGCTGCTTCTCCGACTGGGCCTGGGGGCTGAGGGGTTACTGTCACTCAAGCAGTTCTTGGCAAGACTCCTGTGTGGGTGGAGTGAGGGCTACCGGTTCACAGAACCCATCCTTAGGTTGGCCCGCTCGCACCGGCCTGGACACGACCAGAGCAACCCTGTGCAAGGGGCCTCCTGCAGCCTTCTCCCTCCTGGCCCTCTCCTGAGAAGGTCCGGGCCCTCCTCTCCATGTCCCTCCTTCTGTCGCAGCACCTTCTGGGCAGGGGAACGGCTAGACCTCAAAGTTCAAGCTAGTTGCAGGAAAAGAAACCGATTGATTGATGGCTTTGGGAACGCAGGGAGAAATCATTAACCACCTCGTGCTGTCGGCATTACTGAGCTCCCCACTTCGAGCATTTTAATTAGTGTTTCCATTTTCAATATACTTAAGAAAAAAATCTAAAAAAAAAATCACTGAGGTAGACCTAGACTGAAGGTTGGGGGAGGAATTCAGAGAATTCTGAAATCATAAGCTAGATTCAGAGTTACAGAGGGAGCTAGAAAGCGCCTTGGTGCAAGTCCAGAGAACCTAGGTGAATACCAGACACTAAAACCAACGAGCCGTTGATAAATTTAATAAGACGTAGAAAGTCGCTTTGTTAACTGAGCTCGTTTTCCCTCAGGGATTTGTAAGGTATTTTGAATAAAAATAGTTAAATTAGGAAACTGTTTGGCTCGGCCCACCAGCTGCATTAATCCCCACTCCCCAAGTGTCTTCTACACGAAGTATCCCACTTCTGTTTGAAATCAATTAATACCTGCTCATCTCCGATGTTTAAGTGAGCAAAAAATCACTCAAAGCCTGTGTTGAAAGGAAGCTATTCACATTAGGTCACCCTGCAGGAGACTGCCTATCCCAGCTCGACCCATACAAAATGGCGATTTCTTACGGTTCAAATTAATAAGTGCGCTGATGCCTTCTGGGGTGAGGAAATAAACATCCTCACTAAAGTTCTTTTATGCATAATCTTCTCTTGCAAAAAATTAGTCATTTCAAGGCAAAAATCCCTGACCCAGAGCTTGAACCGGTCCGGACACTGTGAGGGAGCCAGCGGCAGAGGTGGAAGGCGACCGGGCAGAAGGCGGGCCCACGGGCACCCAGCCTCCAGAAACTGGGGAAGAACTAGGTTCTTTTTGATTGTCGTCTCTTGCTTTTTAATGTTCTCAGAAAACGGCTGTATCTCTCAGAGTCTCTCAAGGATTTTTAGATAAAAAGAGAGGTTTTATCTTTGCATGTCTATAAGCAGTGAAAAACTCCAGAGACCAAAACCTACAGGCAATTCAAATAAACTAAATCCGATCAAGGTAATATCAATGCCAGAATTAGACGAAAACCCAAAGAGAATATCAATAACAACATTAAAACAGCAGGTTTCAACCGGAATCAATAGGCAGAATAAACAGAGAAAATTAAGTCGCAAAGTGTTAGTAGATAAAAGCTCTCCACTCATTAAAATTCTGTTTGTCTTTGTGTCTTTTTATCAATGTACCTATATATCTATGCAAGTGTATCAAAGTTTGTAATGTAAAAGAATGATGAAATAATCTAATTAATTTCCGGTGTCATTCTACATATTTCTTTCAAGTTAAAACTGCAATATTAATAATGGTTTGCAGTTTAATAAAATATCTTTATGTCCTATTAACTCATATATCAGCTTGTTATAAAAGCCACTTTCTATCAAATAGCTAAACTTCAAAAGGCTTCTGCTTTGATCAGGAGAAAAAAAAATCAAGTTCATTCCATTTGTACTGAATAACCTGGCTCAGTTTTATAGAAAGACCGTTCTCTCGTGAAAGACGTTCCAACACGCAAAAAATAAAAAGAATATGCTGAGGAAGCCATTGAAGTTTGTCTGCAGCAGGGGGGTCCTTTCTCCGGTAAGGCTGGGGCAGAGCACAGGACCCCCTGCAGA